TTTCTGAACCCAGGGGAGACAACATCCAAAGAAGATGTAACTTCCACAAAAAAGAAGAGCTATTTCAAATGCTTAATGGTTAGTATTTTTACCACATTCAACACTATCAAGGATTGTATTTGGGTTGAAATATTCCTATTTAGGAAAAAGGAGTAACAACTTGAGATTAAGCACCTTGACTTTGGACTTGGTACTAAGGGATAGATACAAAAGATGAGAAACACATTCCCTATGGTGAAGGAGCATATACTCTACAAGAGGAAATAAAAAGTGGCAGATGGAATTCCTTGGTGGTCCAGTGGTTAGGACACCTCACTTTCACTGCTGAGGGTCTGGGTTTGATCACTGGTCGGGGAACTAAGATCCCACAAGCCATGCAGCATGGCCAATAAAATAAAATAAGATAAAATAAAATGTTACAAACTTCCATTAAAACAAAAAAAAAGGTGATTAGAGGATGGTTATTCACAGTGCAAAACTCTTAAAAAAAAAAAAAAAGTGGCAGAGACAGTAGTGTTCCCCAAACAGTCCATGGGTTCCATTACTTGTCCAGCTCCCCTTATATAATTAAGTTGAGGCCATGTGACCAGTTTTAACCAATGGACTTCAGATGTTAGAAAATGGATTTGCTCACTTCCAGTCCATAGGTCTTAAGAGTAGCAAGCTCAGGAGCCATGTGTTGAATTCAGTCACAAGATGGAACTAGCCTGGATCCCTTAGAAGGGAAGAACCCAAAGCAAACAGGGCATGTGTGAAAATTAAACTTTTATGTGTTAAAGCCACTGGGGTTTTGGGTTTTTTAGTTACCACAACACAGTCTAACCTTGGCAAAGACATAAAACCTACACACAAACTAATCAGACAACAATTTAATTCAGATGACTACTGGGTGGACAGGATAAGGTTAAATGATTGACAAAGAGCTTGGAGAGGAAGTAAAAGAAGGGTACATACTGGAACTGTAGGGAGAAAAGGGAGCATATTTCAGGGAGGAGAAATACTAAGAGCCAAGCAAGAATTCTAAAACTGGGACTGAATGGAAAGGGAGTAGATTTCTCCAGAAATAGAGGCATTTTTGTCATTAGGTGTTCCATGAGCCAGTTCATTTTCTTGCTACTTATTAACCTAACCCAAGTGTCCCTTGTCAAAGGCCTGATGATCAATGCTCAGGGCATGAACCTTAACTTGAATAAATACTAGAAAGGAATGCAAAGGTCTACTCAGTTTTCTATCTTTCATTCTTAAAGTATCAGCCAGGGATTCAGATCAGGTTTTTATTCCACTCATCCCACAACCACTCGAGCTCTAGTCTCTACAAAGTTACCTTGCTGAACTCCTGCAAGCAATTACTCTTGGATGTCGAAATAAAGAACTTGCAAAACTTAAACCAATATTGGGAATTGGGATTCTCTATAGGCTAGGTAACAGCCCATAAAGTCTAGCTTGTCCATGTCCTCAAAATACTACCTATTTTACCACATCCATAACATACCCGCCAAGCTGAAACTCACGCTCTACGCATGATCACTACCTACATCAGAGCAGGAAGAGGTGAGGCTGAGGAGAGGATATTATGACTTCCAACTTTCAGAGAGTATCTTTTCGGAAGTGAGGGAGAGAAGGCTACTGATAGAGCTGTAATGGAAATTCCTCTTTGCTCTGAGGATAGATCCCTTTATTTCTAAGGGCTACCCATCAAATCTTAATCCAAAGGCAAAAAAGGGGAGCCTCCTTTATAACACTAATTAACTAACTATGAGCATTCAATGCTGTCAGTCTCTTAAAAATCTTGAGCAGGAAAGGACAGAAAGAGGAGAGAGGATGAGAATGACACAGATGTGCAAAACATAAGGAGAATGGAGGACAACTAAGGATGCAAAGCAGAGAAAGAATCAAGAAAGCAAGGGAATTACATTCAAAACTCCAAGAAGCAAATTCAGCCAGAGGTTTAAAAAACTGTTTCTTGCTTTATAATGAATTAAATAACAGAGTTTAGAGAACAATGCTACCTTTTGATGAATGAGTATAAGTAAGCACTATCTATAATCTGCAAAGCACTGTTATTCTTATGTTATTTTCATACTCTTTCTGACTCAGTTTCCTCATCTTAAAATAAGAGGCCCTGGAGCTTAAGGTGTCTAAATTACTTCCAGCTCTTAGACATTCCATGGGGAAAGGACAGGCACGGTCCCCAGAGATATCTGAATTTCTTGCAGCACATCCGAACATTTAAACCTAAAGACATTTGGTAGTTACTAACTTAATTGAATTTAAAGTGTTTTTTGCTTTAAAAAAAAACCCACACAGATTAGAATTTCTCTCTCTTTCACAGAGAAACCTAAGCACTTGATTATGTACTTGGGTTAGGTACTATGCATTTGACGCATCTGGCATGTATCATCATAGCTAGTTCACAGGACTGGTCGCCAGCCCAGGGGTTAAGAACAAACTCAGGAGCTGGCTTGTCTGGGTTTGAATTTTAGGTCTACTGATTAAGCAACTCAGACATGTTACTTATTTCTCTGTGCCTCAATTTCTCATCGTTGCTAAGATAAAAATAGCAATAATACCAACTTTACAAAATTGTTCTAGGACTAAATGAGCTAATGGTGGTAAAGTACTTAGAGCAGTACCTGGTACTACAGATTTATTCAAAAAAACAAAAAACTTTTGAAAGCTAGGTACTATTATTATCCCTAATTTATAAGGGAAGAACCTAAGCCTTTAAAAAGTTAAGTAACTGGGGGACTTCCCTGGTGGCCCAGTGGTTAAGACTCTGTGCTGCCAATGCAGGGGGTACAGGTTCAATCTCTGGTCGGGGAACTAAGATCCCACATGCCGTGCAGCACAGCCAAATGATTGAAAGAAAAAAAAAAGTTAAGTAACTGTGGACCGAAGTCACCCAGCTAGAAAATTGTGGAGCCTCATTCCAACCCAACCAAGACTCCAGAGCTGATTGGCTTTAATGCCTTCTCATGCTGTCTCCTTCCATAGAGCAACTCATGCACCAGAAGAAGACACTGAACCAATGACTCTGGAACAGACACTGGGAATGTACCACTCTCGTATCTGGCTAGACCAGGAATTCCCAACTGTTTCCTACTGACTTGTGTGTAATGTAAAAATTTTAAGTCCTTTTAATGTCATTCTTGTCTATCACTTCAAAGTTTGGTGCTCACTAGTTTCTGTATACACATTTGCTCCACATCACAAAAACAACCAAAATGCAGATTAAAACCCATTCCTTTAAAAAGCCGGCTTCTCATCATAACACCTTGGATGAAAATATTGAGTTTTTATTGTGTCCATGCACTTTGCTAGGCATAAACATTAATTGACATGATCCTCACAATAATCTTCTAAGTTCCATTTTTCAGATGAATAAATGAAATGTTTACATATTTCCCCCAAGCTCATGCAGCTAGCTAAGAGCAGAGCCAGATTTTCAATCATCTCTGCTTGACTCACAACCACTCTCCTACACTATTCCCTTTAGACTGAAAAAACCCTGCCAACTATGGGGTCACTTTATACTCCTCAGAGACTGAAACTCATAAGACAGGGCTATGGGGTTTATAAAAATCCATTCACCTACTGTGAGCAAGTAACATGTTAATTGTCCTCAAAGAGATTAAAGGACAGAACACATAAAGATGGAACCACAGAAATTTAAGTGATAAATTGTTTCAGGTAGGCGATTAAATAATAATAATAAATATATGTAATATTTCTTTTATATTTTATACCTTTGTAGATTGTTTCAGACCTTGAGAAACATTAGTTGGTGCTAATCTTGTCTCCTTTACCTAACAGACCTTGAGCAAGTTGCATAAGCACCGTGACCTCCATCAGAAACTGGGAAGGGCTCTTTTGAGGACTGAATGAGTCCTTGTAGGAAAGGCCCGGCAGAGGCCCAGGCAGGGCAGGCACAGTGCAGGTGCTCAACTAATGTCGGGCTCTCTCTCCTTGCACTGCCCATGCCTGGCGTTGAGAATGGCTCATGGGTCCCTGAAAATACATCTACAGAAGGAGCCGAGTGAGAGGAATGTGCTGTGATCTCAGTCCTCTAATAGGATTCACACCTTTTGTACGATTGCCTATTTTCTGAACTCAGCTCTGAAATGAGCTATTATCCTCTGTTTCACTCTTCTTCGTATTATCCAAAATAATTCAATGTCCACCTTTCCCTTTGGGAAAATCAAAGGTTGACGTGGCTACCTTCTGAACTCAAGCTGTTAAAGATCCCTTTCTTCTGTTCAAAAAGTTTTACTGATTTTGAAAGGTCTTATTGATAAAACACAGAGCAACTCAGGGGAAAAGGACAAAGAGAAAGAAGAAAGAGAAAGAATAAAGAGGCCAGAAAAGAAAGAAGGAAGAGAGCCCAAGAGGAGCAGAGAGAGGCAAAAGGCTACTGAATGCATAATTGCCAACAGTTTTAGAAACTGGCTCAGGTCACAATCACGGAGCATTATTTTTAAAAACCAAGGGGAAAATATTTATACAAAATCCAAAGGATACATGCTGTTTGTTAAATGCTGTAAAATGACAATGTATTCAATCCATTAATTCATGAATTAGTCTGTGTAATGTTTACTCCTGGCAGCATTAGCATTTCGGAGATGAATATTTAAAAGAAAAAAAGGAGAAATTAAAAGACCAGAGACAGAATTAAAGAACCATTTTTTTGTTTTGTTTTGTTTGTACACCTCCATTTGTGTGTTTTGGCTGTATTTGTACAGTGTTGTTAAAATTTAGGGGTTAGGGGTGAATGAAATGGGTGACATGGAACCTTCCAAGTCCCTCTTGAAGCCCTCAGCCTCCCAGGTATGTATAAAAGTCACAAGAATTTCCAACAATTTTCTAACTGTGCTCATAAACGATAGTTTCAAAAGGCGATATGTTATAATAAACATATATTATGAGTAAATTAAGCCTTAATTATGTTTAGCAAGTTTTACGTTCTCATTAAAAGCAGAATCACAACAATAAACATGACTTACCAGCAGAATTAACTCTGCCACAATTGTCTACTCTTCCCAAACATTCTTTGTGTGCTCTTGCACCACACTTAACACATAAATAGCCTTGATAAAATGTTCCCCTGCAAGGTAAAATTAGAGGGTGATAGGTTAAAAGGTGCGAAATTCTGCCTATAGGAAATCATTACTGACAGAAAGCAAAACAAGAGAACACAGTGCTATGCAGTTCCCTTCAGTGGAGGGAGAGGACCTTCCTGGGTTCTGAAGGAACTGTCCAGGCACAAGGCCAAGGAAGGACCTGATGGATCCAAACTCATAAGGCAATATCCCCACTTGAGAACATTTTGCTGGGACCTTAGCAAAGTCTGAAACATTTGGCAATTATACCAGTTCCTTTAAACTGAAAACCAGGATCACACAAACTTACCTCAGAAGCATCTGGCAGACTTTGCAGGATGTAACCCGGTTGAAGGTATGCATCTTGAACTCATGGAAATTGGAGTCTGCATAGTCTGGCCTTATGTTGGACCTATACAAAGGGGAAAAAGTAACATCCTCAAGAAAGTTTCACAACAAAACCGCAGTCTAATTCATCAGCATTACATTGGGTACAGAGGTGATTCAGTCAAATAGGCTATTAAATATGCAATGTTTTCTAAGCCAAAGGATGCTTTGCTTTAAAATATGCACCAAAATCTGGTTGTGTGAGAACCAGCAACTTGTAAAGATTGAAGCAACCTAATCCTCCTCAGCATTGAGTGTTCCCAGGGAACTTTACAGAATGGCCATGTAGGTCAACCTGTCAGGAAAAACATAAAACCTGCTGGATATTCACACTGTGTGATCATTTCTTTTCTCTAGCCACATCACTGAAACAGAAATGAGCTGCAGGGGGCAGGAGGGAAGGGAAGAGGGTGTGCTGCATTTCCACAGGGTCCCTGTCCAAACAGGTATGTGGATTATGTAATGATCTGTAAAAGTGAATACAATTTTATAAAAAGTGTTGAAACAAAGCCTCAGTCTGATCATTAAAAACTTCCTCCTTAACAAACAGTCCACTTTCCTTGCAATCCAGATAAAAAATAAGCAAAATTATTTTATCATTTATATTATACACATATGCAAAAAAATACTAAGTATACTGCACAATGACATTCACCATGTATTTACTCTGTGCCGATACTGTAATAAAAATATGATTTGTTCATTATATCTCACTTAACCTTCACACCAATCCTAACTGGTAGGCACTAATAATATCACTAGTTTACAAACAGGGAAACAGAGGCTTACATTAAAGTAAAGGAAATGGCAGAGCTGGGAACTCCAACCCAGGTCTGTGCTCTTAGCCACCAAAGCTACACTGCAAGGAGGAATTCAACAATATTCACCTTCATATAATTAGATTTTTGTGTCTAATAGGCATGCTGGGAACTGTTCAGTTTAGTCATTTCCAGAGGATTTTTTATATTATTCTTAATTTGTCCATGTCACCAAAGAAAGCAGAAAAATTAGGAAAGGATAAGTTAAAAGCAAATACAGATGAGAGGTACACCTATAAAGCGAAGATGATGTTCTCTGAGATGTTACAAGCAATTTGTGAGACTGTAGGAAAAGTTTGAGATACTGATGAGCTAGGATTTCCCCTTTTATAGAACACAGCAACTCTCAACCACATTGGCATAATGAAGCATAACACAGGCGGGCGACCAGGCATCAATCTCTGAGGTACCAGGAGAAGCCTTATGAAAAAACATTCACGAAGGCAATTGGAGTAGCAGGCAGTGTTGCAGAAGTGTCAGCAAGGTCAGCCTTGCAATCCATCTGCTGAATATGAGCGAGCTCAAAATGAAATCAAATATTAGTGCCATCTGGGATTTCTCTGCTCTGTGCTTCTGGTGACCTCACTTTTTAGGAAAATGTTCCACTGCATGCTGAAAAGCATGGCCGTTTCCATGGAGGCATTTTTTGGTCACTGATGAAGAAGTGGAGTTCTTCTGCAGGAAGGGAAAAGGTGGGAAAAGATAATGATCTAGAAACAAAACTCTCTTCACATTGTTTAGAAAACATTTGATTCTTGAGTCCATACAGCCAGACGGGAAGGGCCATTGTTCATTTCTCTCTGAGCGTCAAGGTGACAGTCATAGAAGAATTGTCAAATAGCAGCTTCGGTCCCGGGAACTTGAAGAATTCATCACCCTGGAGTTTTAGAATAAAAGTGGGTCTCCTTCAGGCAGAAACTCAAGTAAATAGATACCAAATAGGTAAGAATTTAATTAATCTTAGAAGTCTGCCTGGGACATAGGTAGAACACCTTTCTCCTAGGGTTAACCCAAGTTGTGTGTGTGTGTGTGTTGTGTGTGTGATAGGTAGAACACCTTTCTCCTAGGGTTAACCCAAGTTGTGTGTGTGTGTGTGTGTGTGTGTGTGTGTGTGTGTGTGTGTGTGTGTGTGTTTATCATCATTTGTATTTAACACTTTCACCAACTAACTAGGAATAAGCTGACTTTTCAGAAGACAAAAGCTGAGAGGAAGATTACACTAAGAGGTTAGAAAGAAAAATCTTACATAAAAACAAAAACTCAGAAAATATTGTTAACAGTAGTTACCATAAGTTAAGTGAGACCTAGGGTAGAATGATAGAAAGGAACTGTTGGAAGTTGTTTTTTTTTTTTTTAACTAAAAGTGCATATTATTTTAAAAATTTTAAATCAAGCACTAAAGAATAAAAGTTAACTCTATGACCCTGCAACTGCTATTGAGACACTGTAGAATATAAAAGCATAGTTGAGGGCAGGAATCTGAAATTAGACCACCTGGGCTTAGATCCTAACTTGCAAATCACTAGCAGGGTGACCTTGGGCAGGTTACTAAGTATAAAACAGGAATACTAATAAAATCAAACTTGTAAAGGAAGGTAATTTATATAAAGTGTTTAGGACTTTGCCTAGCCCAGAGCTGGTGTTCAGTAAGTCTTGGCTCTAATTTATAAATTGCTGATTCCAAATCCACATTAATAATGATGTGATCAGGATAATGCTTTATGAGTGGTGAAGAGTCCCTTGATAGTCTTGGGAATTTCTAGAGGGTCCCCATTCTCCTGGGAATTTCATTGCAGGAAGGTTGTATGTTCAGCGTCCTTGGGACCAGGAATCCATATGTAATGATTTAAGCACAATAAGAAATGGGGTTACTCAGGAGAGGACACATATGCAAAAAGCCCAGGGAATTAGATGAAGTCATATCAAGCACCAACTAAAGAGAAGAGAGACATCAATACACATGGAGATGCAAAAATCAAACACAGTAAGTTGGCTAGATGGGAAGAGCTAGAAAGGCAGGTTAAAGGAGAAGAGGATAAAGAAGCATCAGGTTTATAGACTTGGTAACACAAGGACAAAAATGATCAAAAGTAGAGTTTACTGCACACCTCTAATGTACCAGGCACATTAATTGACTCTGTATATTTTTTCACATTTACTTCTCATAATAAACCTATAAGGTAGAGTCATTCATTCACTTCATATTTATTGAGCACCTACCATATGCATAGGCCGTGAAGCAGGAACAGAAAGAAGAGCCCTTTAGCTGGAGCCTGGTGGGTGAAGAGGGGCAATGTAGGAGATGTGTAAGAGAGGTTGGCAGGGCCAAGGAAAGAGTTGGTCTTACACAGGGATTGACCTCACATTTAGTTGACCAAAAAAAAAAAAAATCTCTGGGGCTACTATGTAGAGAATTCCTTGCAGTGCAGCGTGGACATAGCAAGACCAATTATGGGGTTGAGTTGCCTGCAGATGAGAACTGAAGATCCAATATAAGTCAGCTCACTTGCTTGGTCATGCAGCTATACAGAAAGGATTCCATTTTCGTAACCTGCTTTGATATACTACAGTTTACTTATGAGAACATGAGTGGAATCTCATAGATTCCGTTTCTTTTGCTCCATATAGGGCCCATTATTAATACAATTAATCAGTCGATCAAATATTTATAGAGCGAGGCATGTTGATCCTCTTAAGTCTCCTTATAACTACATGTTCTCCTCCAATTGCCCCCTCTTGTCACCTGGTTCCATGTGGGAGCCAAGATAATGACTACACAGCTCGGCTCAGCCTAGGCATCCTCTTCATCCTGCAGATCTGCATTCCAACCGTTCCTCAGGCATCTCAAATGCAGCACATACAAAACTCAACTCCATACCTTTCCTAACATACTTGATTCTTTTTTTAAAAAATAGAAACCCTTGTGTCAAGGGCTGATTTTCAATAGATGACAGCAATGGAGCTGCTATGTATGAAACCCTGAAGCAACATATCTGATTCTAATCAAATTCTGATTTCAATCCATCACCATTCACCCCATCTTCCAGCCGAGAAACTCAAGAGTCATGATGAATTTTTCCCTCTCCCTGAAACCTTCCTACATATTCATTCTCTCTTAACCTCTCACCTGTTCCAATTTCTCCTTCCCTGACACTGTGACCAATTTCTATTGATTCAACCTTAAAAATACCTCCTCTAAAATGCAAGTTCCATTCTCTCTTCTCACTACCTAATTCAAGCCCTCAATATCTCCTAACTAAATTGTGACAATGAACTTCTTAATTATTCCATCTCCTACTCTCTCTGCCTATTTAAGGCCATCTTCCATATTATTGCCAGAATCACCTTTAAAAATGAAAATATGATATGGCACTCACTCCTTTGAATATGTCCACTCGTTCCTATTGCCTACAGGGATAAAGTTAAAACTTCTAGCAATGGTATGCAAAGTGTATTAAGCTATAGCTTTATCTACCTCTCACCTGCCTCTTCTTTCCCAAAGACTCACAAGCCATACACTATAGACACACAGATCTTCTCACATTTCTCAAGCATATTCTTCTCGTCCATAACCCTCGGTTTTGTAGTCCATTCATTCTAAATGTTTCCCCTAACTTAGAACTGTTAATTTACCTAGTTACTCATATAGGACCAGATTAAAAAATGTGACTCCTTTGATAATATCTTATTTGAGTCTGCATGATAAAAGATAGTGATTATCATATCATCTAGATTTCCAAAGTACTTTTTCAGCCTTCTAGTATAATACTACATTGTATTATAACCACTTACCATCTGCTTCCAACAACCAGAAAGCTGTTCTATGCTGTTTATGTTTATATTACCATGACCTAGCTCAGTGTCTCATATCTAATGTATATTAAGTTGATATTATTGAATAAATAAATTAACAAATATCCCTATCTATACACTAAGTATTTTTCTACTTAGGGAGAAAAGGACTGAAAAAAGAAAAAGCATAGTCATCATACCCTCAGAAAGTTGTCCACTGAATTAAAGAAACAAAAACATCCATGAAATAACAAAAATTTATAACTGAGGAACAAAGAAATAAAAAGGGGAGATCAGTTAGTGGTTACATTAGTTACAGAAAGTCAGTGGTATTTAGTAGATAAAGGAAAGGGGGAAAGTGATATAAGTTTTGGGGGAAAACAAGACTGAAAGTTCACAAATGAATATCAAGTGT